TTTTTTATTTGTTTTTTTTTTTTTTTTTTTTTTTTTTTTTTTTTTTTTTTACTGTATAATTGCTTGAGTTCTTTGTATGTTCTGGATATTAATCCCAGATGCATAGTTTGCAAAAATTTTCTCCCACTCTGTAGGTTGTCATTTCACTCTGTTGATTGTTTCCTTTGCTGTGCAGAAGCTTTTTAGTTTGATGTAGTCCCATTTGTTTACTTTTTCTTTTGCTGCTTGTGCTTTCAGGCTCATGTTCATAAAGCCTGTGCCCAGACCTAATTCCTGAAGTGTTTCACTGATATTTTCCCTTAGTAGTTTTACAGTTTCAGGTCTTATAGTTAACTCTTTAATCCATTTTTCATTGATTTTAGTGTATGGTGAGAGATGCATGTCTAGTTTAATTCTTCTGCATATGGATATCCAGTTTTCCAAGCACCACTTGTTGAAAAGGCAGTCTTTTCCGCAATGTAGATTTTTGGTGCCTTTGTCCAATATCAGATGGCTGTAAGCCTGAGGGCTGCTTTCTGGTGTCTCAATTCTACTCCACTTTTCTGAATGTCTATTTTTAAACCAGTACCATGCTGTTTTGGTTACAATAGCTTTGTAGTGTAATTTGAAGTCAGGCAGAGTTATGTCTCTGGCTTTATTTTTTTTTCTTCCTCAAGATTACTTAGTGCCTTCTAAGAAAGTAAAAGCAGCAGATAATATTTCAAGGGAAATCACACTTAACAGTCATTGGCATGGTCTTCCTGAATGTTTGTGGTTTAAGTAGGACTGGAAAATCACATATTTAACCCAATAAAGCACTACATCTTGGAGAATCACTAAGGCTTTATTTATACGGTAGTACCAGATCCAATCAAGCAAAGGAAAATCAGTCAATTCTGTAATAATATTCAATCAAGTGGGTTGTGAGGTATTTTATGAGGAAAACACACTGAACATTTTCAGCATTTGTATAGAAGTGAGTGTCAGATTATGATCTAATGCAATTATTTTCAGCCTTCTTACCCAGAATTCCAGTGGTATAT